AAAAGTAGGTAAGTTAACAAATCGGATACGGTGACATTTAAATCGGATCTATAAACATTTAATCTAAGTTACATTTTAGTTGCTTAGAGAATTTATTTAAAATTTTTCTGCGCTATAACTATTAAATCATAAATGCGATAAATTAGACTAGAATATAAAATAAAAGATGTATATAGACAAAATACGAAATAATATTTGCTCTCGAGTTGTTCGAATTTGACTTTGACAGTCTCACTATCAAATCTATTATTAATTAAGACTGTAATCTTTTTTATTCTAATTTACGTAAAACTAAAATATTTTTTATCAACTTACGTTAAGCTTCTGAAAGGTTTAAATCACAGGTCTGACAAGGAAACAGACTCGCAATAATTCATAATTAAAACGTAAATAAGCGGAAACATTTTTTATCACTTTACGTCAAGCTTCTAAAAAATTCAATTTACATATTTCAATAGATTCGCAATTATTGATCATTAAAATGGACTACTCTAATAAAAAATAATTATCTTTGTATTTCTTTGTTACTGATTGTATAGAACTTATACATACAAAAATTCATACGCATAACGCGCAACTTTAAATAGATTGAATACTTGCTAATTATTTTTCGATGTTCTACCAAAATTTCGAGAAAATTTTAACACTTTCAAAATTAAATGACTGTTAAAATAAAGCTGTAATATACAAAGATACTCTAAAAAAACTTCTTCTATTAAAATTTTACAGCACTTTTTACAATATACGCATTATTGAGTAACCAAATCGTTAATATTAATATATAATTATATCTATTAATTTATATTAATTATTATATGTAGTTAATTAATATATATTAATATCTATTAATATATATATATATATATATATGTATATATATAATCCATAATTATATTATATAATATAAATTATAGCCAGTATTTTAAACTTAACAGTGTTGTTTTAAATTTTAAATAACGGGCTTTGTGAGAGATTAGCTAAATATAAGAGATAAAAAAGAGAGCTCAGCGAGTACGATAAATAACTCGACAATTTTGAACAACGGGCCAGAATTTTATGTTTACATCGGGACGCGGAATCGCGGCTCTTCATAATATTTGATTCTTTTTTTTATCTGCCTTCGTTTCGTTTACCTCGGCACAACGGCGAAACGGAAATGAAACGGACCACCATGGTCACAAGAACAAAGCACCGGAAATTAAGAATCTCTGTCCACCATCTCGTCCTTTTCCTTCTCCGTTTCTCTCGTTTTCATCTTCTCCCTCTCTCTGTCTATCTCCATCTCTTACTCTCTATCTAGTTTCGATTTCTTCTCGCAGATCAGGTCTCTTTATTTTTAACGACGAGAAATCACGATTAATGCTTGTAAAACGTACACTCTCAAAATTATTACAGCCACGTCGACATCATATCAGTCGATGTATCTCGTTGAAACTCGACGCACATACAAGATAAGAGGACTCAACGTACGTAAATCTATGTATAATGAAAATAATTATAATTATAATTAAAATTTTCAGTTGCGGCTAGAGGTACATTCATTTATTTTAATTATGCTTCATCGATCATGATATTATCATGGCAAATTATTCATAAATTATCATGTACATTGACTTTATAATATGCCCATTCTTGAAAAATTACGTTGCATGATATGCGATAATATCAAATATGTAAATTGTATTAGATTCTGCACTGCTTGACTAATAAAAAGCATTTTCAACTACGATGAAATAACGTTCTTGTATATTCTGTAGTACATGAAAATTGTTATGATTTATAATGTGTAGCGCATAATACGCACATTTCATGAAACTGATGTTATATTATATATTATATATTATATATATATATATATATGGAAGAAGAAAATCTCAGTTCGTGTAACTAAATAGAAGAATTAAATGAGATTTCGGCGACAAAATATGGTATCTCTGCTTGCTGTGACCGTTTGTCTGAATATCCAGCTGTGTTAAAATTCGGTTGAAATAATTAAAAATAATTGACTAAGCAGAATCTTCTTACAAGCATCTCTTTCTGCTTTTCCAACAGAATTTCCTATCTGATCCCTATACTTTGCAGACAACAAAAAATTTAAAAATTTAAGAATCAAAAAATGTAATTATACTGACAAGATTAGCTCCGTCTAAATCATGTATACTTGGATACAGCAAATATTATCATATAGGACCAACAGAACAATCAGAATGATGAGTCAGGATAGTTATGAAACTTTGCTCGACTCATTGTTGCATGACAATAAGCGCTCCCGTCTGTCTGTTGAGCAAAGTCAAATGTAGCAAATACGTGTTATTTTACATTGCGTAATTAATTCATTGACACGCAATTACTCATCTATCTGACTCAAGTTGTGATTCAAGGCATCTGTTCTCGACACGTATTAATTATTCAGATAAAAAGCTACTCTCGTATTTTTTATATTTTTTTATTATATTTTTTTCATAACTATGTTGAAGATAAATCGAGGAAAATCACGATAAAGTGAATATTTTATTGTGCTATATCTCTCTTCCACAATATGTTTTACTGTGTATACACAGTGGAGTTAATTTAAAGTTGTCGCAATTTTCATCAAATAAAAATATTGGGAATATAATAAAATACCAAATAAATTTTTAAAGAATGAATATTTTGAAGAAAACTTACTTAAAAGTCAGCCTACTTTATTTATTTCTCTTCCACAAATTTGCTCGATTGTAACGAGAAAATTGCGGATTATAAAACCGGTGCTTTATATTATATAAAATATTATAAAATATAAAGAACATTATATATTATTAACAAATAACAAATAACATAAATTCATATTGCGTCCATTATATTATTTCATAGTTATATTATAAATTCATTTATGAATAATAAATGAAATAAATGACTCCAGTCGGACTAAATCCTTTTTCGCTAATAAACACGGAAGGAGACGCGTATCGGCTTTAATACGCGGATGTTCTTAACGAAGGTCAAGTATATACTAACGGGAAAAGATATACACTCTATATTCACGATGTATAGTGAGTGCAATGGTTGCGGTAGAGATCCAAGAAGAATGTCAATTAGTATGACAGTGCAAGACCTTGAGGTGTAGAAGAGGAATCTTTCGAGCGATTCTCTTTATCGATCTGTATCGCTTTATCTCGTAAGTCTCGTTTGTTATTAATAGAATTTCATATTGTACATTAGTTAGTCTTCCTGTAATGTTGTAACTGTATTTTACCTAGAACATTTCGTTTCGTTTAGGACGATTATGACTTATATGTAGACTGCCAAGTTTCCGACGCATTTATTCGTATGCACGTGTCACAACACGTACATTATTACAAATGTGCAACTTCGCCAGATGATATGTGATTACGATTTGATCATTCGAAAATTGATATTGACTCGTGAACTAGAATTGCCTTCTAATTACCTCGATCTCATTTGTTATGTAACCTACTCGAGTTATTGCATATGAATTCGAATTAATGGATAAATTAGAATTTCAATCGCATTTTAATGGATCATCGAAGCGCACGAAGCGTAGTAACAAAAGCGAGAATAATGATTATAATAAAAACGTGAATAATATTGACATTTTTATTTCTACTTTATATTCCTACTTTTTATGATCAACTTAAAAATATAATTTGATTGGTCAAAGTTATTTTCATATTTATACATCAACCTATACATTCTTATATTTCTACGTATCCTAACATTATTGTAATTATATCTCTAAGAATTTAAAATATACACCAACATGCGAAAATTCCGTTTAAAAACTTTCAGGATAGATGATATAATGAGAAAGATGCTCTCAAGTATTGCTTGCTTGCTCACTCAAGGCTACATTCACACACTCAAGAATTATAATATACATATGCACGATTACCAATTGGCAATTGCCAAGCGACTATAACGGTCCTTGACGCGAAAGTGAAATATGTGTGAGACTCCTATAATTTTTTCGAATTGACCAAAGTATTCGTAAGCGTATTATACTATTATTGTATTAACATTGTCTTGACTATCATTGATATTATTCAGTTTATGTTGTTTTGTTCGGTTATTTTGTCACGAACAAAGTCCAAGAATTTTTGGAAAAAATTAACCTAAAGACTATTGACTCATATTTCAGCGTAAATACATACCATTTATCATATCGCGTTGCACATCACATTAAATACCATTTAGAGTACTTAAAATTACAATTTATGTTGTTCCTACTTTTTCAGCAGAAAATCAAAAAAAGTTTAACTAGAAATTTTTCCAGACAGTTTCATAATAATTTTCTCTTCTTTCTCTATAAAGGAATGTATAATCAGTTAAAGTAAAGTGCAGTAAAAATAAATAATAATCCTCTAAAAAAAAGGGTTAAATAATCTGTATACGTATAAGGGGAAATTTATATTAAAATTAATAAGATTTGCATACATGTAATAATAAGATTTATATACATGTAACATATAATTCCTCTAACTTTAAAAATGATGTGTTTATAATATTTTCCTCTTAATTGTAGACCTCCTCTTGAGGCCATATATGAGTAAAATACTCTAAAATTTAGATGATTCCGCTTATTCTGAAATTACTTTTTTTTGGGTGCAATTAAATGAAGCGCGAAAAGGCTAACACATTTAAATATCAATATTTATTCTAACGTAATATTGTAATTAGTTTTATTTTTTATAACAAGAAAGTATATCACATATAACAATAATGCACGGTATTGTCTCGCACGATTATGCACAATACTTGTTTCGTTATACGGACAGTTTAGTGTCCTACGTACGCTTCGTATGTCTTACGTTATCCAGCACAGGATCCTATTTTACTCGCTGCTGGTACGTATGATTTTATTCTGTTTCGCTCTAAGAAAGCTCTAAGATATTGCTCGCGTAAAGAATTCAGAAATGGTAAGTGTTAATTTATACTTGGCCGCACGTATAATTTGTTCTCGTGCATTTTAATTTAAAAAATGAAACATTGCGAAGTATGTACAAATGCGATGATCCGTGAGCGATAATAATCGAATGCACGCGAGCACGTACGACCGTAATCGTGTTAAGTATTTACAGCCAAATGAGAAACACAGACGTAAATTGTTACACTGTCCTTACGCGTCCATCGATACCATTGTACGCGCGTATCGTGGTTCAACGATAATTTAAATAGATAAATAGCTTTTTCTCGCGTTTCCGCAAATCGACGCAATGTACGTTACAGCATTCGGATGCGAACAATTCGTTTTGCACGTATGTATATAACTTATATACATACGAGCACGTATGTATATAAGTTTCACCTCGAAATATAATTGAAAGTTAAACTCGATATTTACATGTCACAAAAATTGTCTAATGTCGAATATTCCCCACGTGGACGACCTTGCAACTTTGAGAAGCACCTTTTTGTTTGTTACTCTCATAAACGTATAATATCTAAAGTGCGCCGAAAGGATGTGAAAAACTGAACAAGGACATACTTTTTATCAGCATTCTGTTTGTCTCTTGCCATAGGTATGTACTTTCCTCCACGTTTTGCAATTCCCTCATTCCTTCCTACCCACTCTACTGTTCTGTTTCCTCAGCCAACAAACGTTTTTCATCCCACTATGCGTCATTAGAAAAATACAGATTGGTGATCATATAATAGCCTTCTTTTAATGATCTGACGCATTTTGATTACGGAAGTTGTAAGGACCGCGCGCGCAGTCTCATACATCTATTGTTACTCTGCACTCTTTCTTCCTATTTCATGAAACGGGACGTATGGTAATAGAGATTCCATGCCGTGGAGAGTGAACGTGGGTGTAAAAAGGCTCAAAATTACTGGCAACAGTTTTCCGTCGCAGAGAGTTGCGGTAATACAAAGGAATCATCAGCGTTACAAAGTCGTTCGCGTAGAACGTCAAGAACGTAATTTCTAGAATCCCGCCGTTCTCCCTTGCCGGCGATAATCCGAGTTTGCAGTTATATATCCTTTTTCTCTGGATATAGCCGTGATCGCACTGCCAATTCCACTGAAAGTAGTAACGTTGTGCCCGACTTTCTTCAAGTAATCCAACGTAGCATCACAAAAATCGTGTTCGTTTTGCACCGTCATTGGCAATAGCTGCAATTTTTTTTTTTTGTTAATTACTCATAGGTCATAATCACTAAGGTCATGCAATATTTTTTTCCATGATACGTAGTAGATAAAATTGTTTTTAATTAGTTTAGCGCTATAATATTTTTTAATGCAAAATGCCCGATGGTAACATTGTCTTTGTCAGAAATTGAAACGTTTCTTCATTAATAGAGTTGTCCAGGTGTTGAATAACTTTCATGTTACGTCTAATTAAATAAGAAGAGGTTTTAGAAAATCTCGTTTTGAAAGAATGCAAAAAAAGTACAATTCTACGATATATTAATATTAACCTCAACAAATATGCTACCGAAATTTATTAGACACAATTTTTATTTTTGGATTTTCTTTTTAAAACAATTCCTAGCTATATACTTATAAGAATTGATATTTCATAATTTCTACTACTCCTCAAAGCTGTTTTAAAAGATGAATAAAGAATTTATTTATCTTTTTAATAGAATAAATCAATCCGCGTTCATTAATACCACGATGATATACTGGAAGAGTTAATGAGTTTTGAATATCATTTTCTTTATTACCTTATTACCTATGAATACTTCGTAGAATTATTTAAAGAGCAATGCAAAGGTCAATTTTTATTATGTATTAGTAATGCCGTAATATTACCGTCGATTTCTTGCTCGTTCTAACAGTTATATCGCTTGTGTACTTACTTGATGATGAAGTCGGTGAGCGTCAATCGCCTCCTTTATGTTGTAACTGTTGAAAAGGTTCAGAATCATACCAATCGCGACACCACTTGTGATTTTCGTGCCACCAGCCGCACCTATCACTAATCGCACATTGTTGTTTCCGTCGAGCTGAAAGAGATCGCATAATTGATTTCAATCGTTCTAAATCAGCACCTTGAGATTTTTCCGCATTTTCCCTCGAAATTGTTCGCGTATCCGCACGAGTATCTCTGTTTAACTCTGGCGTGTCTATCGAGATTTCCGAGTTTTATCACGAACTCGAATTTATTCCTATATAGCGTGCAACTGCATTGTCCGGTGTAACTTCCTATACCTCTCATTCCACCTAATTCAAATTACCTTAATAAATGTAGTCACACGATTTGTCTACAATCTCGTATCATAATGTATCATTTCCAGTTATATGCGCGTCTAAAAATAGCAAGGTTTCTTTTGTGTGGAGAACTTTGGCACGACGCGGAAAGTTGCCACGATGATCGCGTGCATTACGAATTGCAATTACAGTATAATTGAGCCGAGCGATTCTCGGAATCGATGGGCACGCATTGTCACCATTACGCGGTTCGTTAATCACAAAGTCTCGTAACGATTTAATTTTATGAGCCTCTTCGTGACACATCCGGCGTATTATTTATTTCTTTATGTTCTCGCGTTGTTCTTCGAGTTCCTTCCACGAGATATCTTCCCGGTAGATCTATTAACGTTTATGTTACCGCAGTAGATATAGATGGCCTTACCACAACAGTCGGGCACATCGAGCTCAATGGCCGTTTGCCGGGTCGGATGAAATTCGCCGGCGACGGCGGGAGTCCGAAGCCGTTGGTTATATTGGGCGAGCTGAAGTCGTCCATCTCATCGTTGAATATTATACCAGTGGTATTCGAGCGTATCATCGCGCCGAACCTGATAAATAAAGATGCCACGTGGAGAAGCGAGACGTAACGCGTTATTCCGCGGGATTCGCCCGCGTAAGATTTCTCCGAGAGCCACCCGAATCGTTCCATTTTTCGAGTGGATACGAACGATACTTTCGACGGTGGAGCAATATCGAGTATCTTGGAAGCTCGGCGATGCGATTGTATCTCTTTTTCCGAATTTCCAATGCGCGCGAATCGAATAAACCGCGGCGTGGACGTAAAGTGCGGTTAGCGCGAAATATCGAGGAAGAAAGCGGCTCGGCTAATTCTCTGCGTTAAAATTAAAACAAAGTCGTACATTTATTACCACGGCGACGTCTCCGCTCGAGGACGAAGTTATTTTTATGCGAAATTGCGCAGAATTACGCACGTAATAGCGAGTATACCGTTTTGCTTGTTTGTGCAACGTAATCTTCTTATCAGCGTATAAGCTCACAATTATCCTTTAATTTGCTTTGTAATTAAATACAATTAAATGTGTTCAAGTACCTCAATTGTCTCAATTATAATTAAATACAATTAAATACGTTCAATTTGTTCAATTGTCTCACGTTGTGCTTGCAAGTCATTTATCGCGTATGTCTTTGATTTAATTCTTATTACTCATGAATTAATTACTTACACTTGATTAATGGTCGATGTAACGGAAACGGCAGAACCATCGGGAGCAAGGACGGAAATATGAGCGGTGCCTGAATCCTCTATTCCTTCAGTAACAGCACCGTAATCTTTCGGATCTTGGCTCGTGGAGTAATCACTTATTCTTTCCCGTATCATATCCGCGTAATCGTTTGACGTTAAATTTGCGACCACCTCATCTGCAACGGAATGGTACTATTGTATTTAAGTATCCATGATTGACTTGTGCATTCTCTTTGAATAAAATGCCATTTTCTTGAAACGAGTGGAAATTTATTCAAACTAATCACTTAAAAACATCACTTAGAATTAGGAGAAAGAGAGAGAGAGAGAGAGAGAGAGAGAGAGAGAGTAAATGTTTTATTCAAACTTAGAGTAGATTTTTTATTCATACGAATGAATATGAATATTTCATTCTATTAAAATGAAATTGACCCAAAAACAGTGGAGTCACACATCAGATTTGCTCTTCAATTCCAAATAAAAATATTCACTCAACGATTAAAAATAAAAATATTCACTCTACATGAATGAAAAGATCATCAAGATTTCGAATGAGTTCGGTGGTTATCTCGCTTTCGAGTGAAATTTTACTCGAAGAGCTTAGAAAATATAATAATCGCGAAGAAACTCGCATGATCGTTTCGTATAACACGTTTCGTTGCTTAAACAAAACACGTTGCGTTACGTTACGTCAAGACACATATTACGGTGCATCACATCACGTCACTTATATGACCGGTTATCAGTTGCGACGTTTAACGCTGCGATTCGCAGAAAGGAGAAAACGCAAATCGAACCGTTATGAAGAGAAAAAAATATGGCGAATGTAGATGGAACTATTTGCTATCGTCTTTCTCTTTGTCTGCTCGTTAGTCATCGTTAACGACCGATGTAGCGACCGATATTTGAGTAGCGTCACGGCACGAAGAAGGTCACCATGTGTAAAAAAGCGCGAGATCAGAGCGATATGTTTTTCATCTAAGTAAATATATCATCTTGCTATCTTCAATATTATATAGTATACAGTCGTGTCATTTCGAATGAGACTCGACGATGACTATCGAATAAATCGTTATCGCTAATATTGGCGATGATTATCTCCAGTCTTCCGGTATTTATCTCACGAAATTGTTTAGTCATAGCCGTACCGTTATAGGCTCGAAATTTATCTCGTATTTCGAATTTCAAGATAGATCGTATCGAATCACGCACGCTGTAAAACATCCGGCGTCATTAATTACACGCACATGTAAATAATCTCACCTATGTCATCGACGAATTCAGGATCTCCCAGTTCAGTTCTTCTTGCGTAAGCCCACTTAAAAGTTTCCACTATACGTTGCCACAGTACGTGTTCATTACTTACCGGTATCAACCGGTGAAGGACATTCACTATGAACGTTAAAATTGCGCCTGAACCTGGCGGCGGGGCGCTATAAATCGTCAGATTGCCTATTTTCAGCGCGACCGGCTGCCTCCACCTGGCTCTGCGAATAATTCGCGACGTTATCAAGCTATATCTAGCATCTCGCTGATCCTATTTCCCGCGTTATCTCTTCGAAATTTCGCGATTGATATCGGAACAACCTTATCACTTCGGAAGTTTGCGTTTTAGAATAGAAAAGTTATCGATAAAGGAACCCGCGACGCTGTTAAAAGTTCACTTCACCACAAGCCGGATAGTCTTTAAGTTTGATAATAATGCGATGATATCAGTGGTGCGTATCAAAAGCATCTATTGTTGTCGTTTTTATCAGACAGTGGCGGCTGATAATGATGAACCCCGCTTTATGATTTCGATCGATAAAATGATATTTGTACAATGAATTAATCCTTTGCGTTTGACATGCGTTCTTCACTTCGGTGTTGGAAATACAACGAACCGCGACGACAATGTATAAAAGCGATCACTTTTGATAATGGCGCTCCGCGATTGTACGGTTGATTGTTTCGGGATCACTCGGAGATTATCACGTAATACCTTTTTCATTAATATTATCTGCAACATGTCATCTTATCTGCGACTGCCTTTTTTCTCTTTCTGTGTACTTCAGCGAACTTTCAACTGCGCACAATAAGTCGTAAATGTATCGCAATTTATCTTCCCAAGAATAAGAAAAGAACCTCGCGATTTTTACGCACTGGTGAATTAGAGATATCGAAACTCGCGCGAAGAAATGCTCACTTGTAGATCTGAAAATCCTTCTTCGTAATTATCCCTTTGAACCTCGTTATTTCCTCGACCAACTCGTCAGCAATAGTGCCGTTGTAAAATATATTAGGACCTTCTAGGGCTAACAGTTTTAGTGTTTTCGCCAGTTTCGGTCGTTTTATCCTGTCTCCTGCCTGTGAACATTATTTTCCCCCTTTTGCTCTTTCTTCCGTGAGGAATTTGTTAAACGAAACCGAGCTTTGTTGTATTATACACGGTTTCAAACATGAAACTAGATTGTACTCACAACCCACGGTTCGTTGGTGGCAGGATCGATGAGTATTTCCCTTAAAGTACTCTCCTCCTTTATCATGGGTCCCTTTTCACGTAGATAGGCGGCGAGATAATCGTTTACGCGAGATCCCTTTTTACACAATTCGATCGCGGGCTCGAATAACTCAGACCATTTCAATCTGCCGTACTTTTGATGCGCCTCCCAATAACCCATGACCTCACCTGGAACCGCGACCGCCAAGCCACCTGTCGAACACCGCGTGAATCAGCAAGCAAGCGATATACTTAGGTGTCTCCAAATTATTTATATATCATCGTGACCTAATTTCAAGAGCGACAAAAGCCGATTTATGTGCAGTGAATGAGATAATTTGTACGTTATTAAAATGTTTCTTATCGATATCGTGATACACGAAGTATGTTGGAGAGCGGGTAAAAATGCTCGCAATTAAATATCTCGCGAGCACTCAAAAATATCAGAGTTACACGTCACTCTGACAGTCCAGAGAATATCGATGAAATTTATCGGGAGAAGAAATCTTACCATACATAGCTAGCTCGGCATTGCCGTCAAACATGTTCTCTTTCGCGGCCGATGGCGCGGCCTCCCTCGCGTCCAAAAAGTCCGCCTTCTCGTTCTTCGCGTCCCAAATCGTCATGAGAAATCCACCGCCCAAGCCCATACTGCAGGAACAGATGCGTGTAATTTAGTTTGCAAACCACACACACCACTCTCAAATCTTACCGAAGCTTCTCGCGCTAAAAGGAGTAAAGTGTATACCTGTGCAGGGACGCGATGCCTTCGCAGAGGAGCGCTGCTATTGCCGCGTCCACTGCTGAACCGCTCTTAGCTAACATATTGGCGCCGATCGCCGCACATTCCTGACCATTTGTCGTCACCGCACCCTGCTCAACATTTTCATGGACGTGAGAAACTCTCGAGCATCAAATACACCGCCATTTCTCTTTGTAATTAATAAAATAGCGCGAACTCATCGTGGAAAAACGCGACGAATATACTCGAGTAGAGTAAGTTACGGCTATTAACCGGACAGTTATCTGACAATGAAATATCTCGAATCAGTGTAACGTCATTCCCATTCTCCAGAAACCAGAAAATTATCAGCTAAAAATTGAAATTAATTAAATTAAACCATCTTGACGCACAAAGAATCAGACCTTCAAATCTTTGATTATTCGTAAACGTCATACAAGAAATATCAATCTAAAAATTTAAATTGCCGTGTGAAAATGATACACGAATATGAATCTGTAATTAATTATGCTCTCAGTCAAAAAGCACAAATGATTTACGACTGTGAATATTGGCTTGAATCAATCATTATTCTTCTTCTTTCTCATATAAAGTGATCGATTGATGGAGACGTTACCTTCTTGTAATAACTGAGTTCCGAGGAACTCTCGAACCTCGGACCGCACTCGAATCCCGAAGTGTGCGTAACGAGGACCACCATGATCGCTATGAGAATGCCCAGAAGCGTGACCGCACTCACTCCCAGCATGACGAATTTTTTCCTCACACTATATGAAACACACGTAAAAATGCGAAAGATTAACAGTCGAACAGCCCAAACCATATTCACGAGGAATCAACGAATTCACTCGATCCGGGCTTGCCGCGATAGACTCGATTTCGCGGAAAGAATTCGTTTGTCGAGTTTCGAACTCGCTCTCAACGACCCTGATTACCGGTAATCATGACGTAACGTCACGCATACTGACGCGTCACACTGACATACTTGCGAAATGAAATCAAATGTCCTAGAAAGCTACACGTAGCGCAAAAACGGAGCTGGTTATCACTTAATAGATAACGAACGCATCTATTTAAATAATAATTCATCCCATTTGCCGAAACAACTTTTTCTGTACCTTGCCCGGTCACTCGGACTCTGCGTGATATTCAGCGTGCCAAGATTTTCATACACATACATTTTCTTCTCCGGTTAACTGCGGATCGGTTTAAAATCCGGTTATGCGAGAGCGTAAACCAAACGACGTGCGCGATTAAATCGATTTGCGAATATTAAAGCGAGATGAGGGACATTTTCTTCTGTTTTGACTGGAAAGAAAATACAGCGTATGCGAGACCAAGAGAAACTTCATTAACGTAGGATGTTCCTCGTCGATGAGAGGGGTCAACACTCCGCTACGGAGTATCCGCGCGAGTTAAGAATCGGTAAATTTGGCGCATGTTTGTCGGCACATCGGTTACGCGGCCGTGACTACGCTCCAATGACTCGCCATGACCGCATTTATATACCTTTAGCGTCGCAGCAGCGGAGATTCGTCAACGTCCCGGCGAAGAACGCGAGTAATAAGTCAGCGCGCGCGCGAAAGAATATAATTCCGCGTAATCCATTAACGTTCATTTCCCGACGCGAATTAATTTCACGCGTTGGCGTGCGAGCCTCGAGCGCGAGAAATTATCAATCAAACGGCGAAACCGCTATCGTGCGAAATGAACATATCGCGCTAAAGGTTAATATTGCGGCAGATAACACGACATCAATTAGCGCATGGGCTAAAGCCGGTGAATGGCGGTGCGAAGTTCAAGCAGGTAAACGTTAAATATTCGGAAGCCGATTCGCAGCCGATAAGGTATTCGCCGTTATCCAAGGCGATTATCTATTTCTCCGAAAAGAAATATCATTGCTCGCGACGCAATCGTCGTCGCCTTTAGCGCGCGCCTCCAGCAGCATCGTTGATTCGAGAGAACGTGTGGTCCAATTATCATCGTGCGATCACAGATTCACACGCACACGGCCCGTTTGCCGTGTAATTCGCTGAGATTGCGCGACACGTTGGGACTTCATTCAACAACGCGTTCAGCATGAACCAGCACGATCACCGTTGTATCGCACTTTCGTTTCAAGGCAAGGCCTAATATACGTCAGCATATTTCAGTATACTTCAATGTGTGCCGCCCCGACACGTGGCGAAGTAAGCGGGAAGTGTAAAGCAAAAGATTACACAGCAAGGAAAAGATGTACTTCTGCGCAAACAATCGGTTTCGGCAAGACGCTCGGGCTAATTTACGGGCTACGTCGCACGAAATGATTGATTTTCTCTCGCTGGGTGCGCGTTTTTCTCATATGTGTGTATGTGTGTGTGTGAGTGCATAATTGGGCGCAACAATCGATATAACGACGCGAGCGTATTTTTAAAGACACTTTATTTCCCCGTCAGTCACCGTGTTAATGTACAGTAAAGATAGAGGACCGACGGGGAGGAAGCGGCAGGACCCGCATGTATCATGCAGATAAACGTGGAAGTGAATATATCGATCTTATCAGCTACGAAATTTTGTCGCTTGTCGAATGTCTCCCTCTTTATCGCTTTTAGCTCTCAGATGATTATCGAACGACCGATAATTATCGGTATAAGTGAAGTTTGGATTAAGCATGAATTATACGAGAATTATTATTTTGGGCGACTAGTTGAGGATGAATCGCGCGGTGCCTCTCTCTTGTGCACGACATTAACGAAGTTTCCGCGAAGATAAGTCTGAAAGGAACGTGCTAATGTCTCCTCACAGGTCGAAACAATACGCGTAGAATCGCTTTTTTGCGAATTATCGAGCGTACACAAATGACTTTTACGTCGGAGAGCTCACGTACACGTTTGTGAGTGCATTTACTAGTCGCAACATTGTAATTTCGTACATTCATGCCTCATTTTCTTAGTCACCGGTTTCAATGCAGATAAAAAATAATTGAAATTGTACATCGCGCAAGTCGACTCGTTGCGCTCTCAAACAGTATTCAACCGATGATATAAAATGTAAACTGCGACAAAATAACGGAAAAACATTGGAAATTCTCTTCCATTAAAAGCAAAATCTAGGCCTTTTCGGGCCTTCGACTTTCTTGCGGTCCCGCATTTTTTACGGATAAAGTAAACCTTATCCGTACGTGAACTAAAACGTTCACAAAGGGATGAAAACGAATCTGCAGAGAAGAATCTGCAAAGCATTGCTAGGATCTGAAAACCATAGTAGCTAGCGATCTCTTCGTGAGAAAAAGTAATTGTTAAGGAAAATTCACAAACCTCTTAACAAGTTTCAGCAGAACCATTTTTGCACGGCACGAAAATGCACCGAATAATTTTACATGCACAAATAAATTATATATGTATGTTTATCTGTAACGACGGTGGTCAGTTCAGCGATTTTGCAATTGTAATGCAAAACGTCACTCGCGCGCGGGGACGAGCGCTTAAGTGCCGCCGCACGAAATACGTAGTTTCGCGCGCAATACCGGCCGAAGCGCAGTTCGAAGTCAAAATAAATGCCGCTTTCGAGAACGCCCCGGAACACATTTCTTCATCTCGACTATTTTGTTTCAAACGTTAACACGATAACTGCGTTCACCGCCTCTGTCGCCGCTGCTGGGTGCGCGCACTGCGATGATTATTGCGTTCCACGCGCAATTGCGGCACACGGCAAATTAATTGCACGTGATTGCGCTATTGCTAATTGCACCACAAGTCGATCTCATCCCCCTTGTTCCGCCGCGGAGAAACTGCCGCGTCCCTTCGTCCATTCGCTCGAGAAGAAAAAAAAACGAAAGGCGGTCGCGACGTGACGTGGGAGTTTTAAATGTTGAAGAGAAGGAAACCAAAAATCATATCATTCATCCTCACTCGCGATCTCTCGTAATTCGTTTGATTTACGAGCACTCTGGCGTCACTTGTGAATCCCTTGGTACAGATATAATTATAAACGAGAACATTATTCGGCATCTTATCTATGAGCTAATCGACAAATAACAGAAGAGAGAGAGAGAGAGAGAGAGAGAGAGAGAGAGAAATTGGAGCACATTTTTTACGGCGACGACGAGACTAATGCTCGTTAAATATTGACAGCTCCTTAATCACAATGTTTGGAGGCAGAAACAGAGAGAGATGTGTCTTTATTGCTTTTAAGTTCATTACGGTGGCAAATACCTGAATATTTATCACGCGTATTCGTCGCGCCTAGGCCACGTGTAGCCGCAATTAACACCGACTGCCGTGATTCTTGTTTATCGCGCCATTACGATCGTTTACTCTCGTCTGAATCCCTCTCGCGCGCAGTGTTTGTTTGCGAATGCATTATTCGACAGCATATTGACGACGTACAATCGACAAGCGAAACTCGTTAAACACATCTCACGAGATCGCATAAGTGGATATGTAGCATTTGCATTGATTCGGACGTTTGGACGAATTGCCGGAGGGCGAGGGTCGCAGAAGAAGAGAAAGGAGGAAAGAAATGACAGCGTTCGTCTTCGACGATCACGTGCGGAAAGACGATTTTGCAACCGACCGTGTCTCTTTACGTGTACACGCCTCTCTCTGAGCATGACCGCTCACGAGAATTACTCTTGCGAATAAAACAGCTCGCGAGATGAATCGGAAGAAAACGACAGAAATAGAGGGAAATTACGCAAATTCGTGACACCAGCCAGGTGCTTTTACCCGTTACCTGAGAATATGTTAAACAATAAAAAAGAAAGTATACGGACCCGATCATGTTGCAGAGGAAAACGTGACACGTAGAGCCGTGACAGAGCGAACAGCTTGACTAAACCTCTAAGCCGATCGTTTCTCTTATAAGAGCGGCAATATCGTTTCTATCTATTCGTCCCCTCCCACGTTCGCGCTCGAGTATAACCGGAAGCCAAAACGGACGTGCTTTTGTTTAAGTGCGTCGCGTCTCTCGTCATTAACGCTCGAGGTATCTTATCGCCGGTAGAAGTGCCGAAATTGATATCGTTCAATTTATCTTATCGATAACAAAAAACTGATAACTTTATTAAAAGTGAATGTTCGACGACGAAACGCGATACACGCAATAGCGCATCGCAGTTACAACACGTGTTATGAATGTCCCACGGTACACTGTTGCGTCTTTTTTCCGCTGTTCTTGCGTCAAGCGTTTCCTCTCCCGCTGAATAAATAAACTATCATTTTTAGCGAGCGACGTTATCAAGGAACGAGACTCCATTTGGCGGCCGGTATGCGGCGAGTTGCGCGCCGAATGAACTTAAATAAACCTACGAGAGAGAGAGAAAGCGCGAAGTTCTTTTCCTCCGTTATATAATTCGATGATCAGTGGAACTACTTCCGGGCGTGAAGAAACGCTTGTTGGGAATTGCTACCTATTTGAATTTCGTAGGAATCAGAATAATGGAGTTCCTCCGCGATGGATTTCCCCACGAATGCCGCATGAGATTATGTCAAATGTCATGCAGCGGAGAAAACCGCAGGGAAGTACAGAAACGCGAGTAATCTTTTGTATGAATTCCTACAGCAATACGGTATATCCGCAGTGCATAATTTATCATAAATCATATTTATGGCTGAATATCATGTGTGATGTTCGATGACGTATAATGTTTACCCAAAAGAGACAAAACGGCTGACATAATTCACACATTATACAATATCAGACTCGTTCCTTTTAGTCATTACACGTGCTACATTTTGCATATTAAAAATAAGATAATTATGTAATTGAATATCAGGAGAGAAAAAAAATCGAAAAAGGAAAGATTGTAGAATGAAACGGAGGCGATTGTCAAGCGATCGAAAAGAAAGGAACTCTAATGAAATTGGAGAATGTGTAATATCGCTTCATGGAAATCCGTCCAGGTGACATTCGGAATCTAGGGAAATGCGTTGTCATGTTCATGTCCGCGCGCCGGAACGAAGCGGTGCAGTTGCAAACTGCTTGGGAAACGGCGGAGTCATTCGGAGTTTTCAGCGAAATCGTGCAAATTTTTGACAACCGACGCGATGACGGCGAGATACGACAGGGCGATCACGGTATTTTCACCGGACGGCCATCTGCTCCAAGTGGAATATGCTCAAGAGGCTGTGAAAAAGGGTTCGACAGCGGTACTTTCAGAAGTTTGATATAACCTCCTAACTCTTCCTTGGTAGTCGCTCTGTCTGCCTTTTAAAGATTCTCGTTCATGTGTTAATCCAAAATCACTTGAATACTGTACTGTAATAGATTTTGTTTTCTTCCGAGCCGTTTTATTCATTTGATCTGAGTATGATATTGCGATTTTTTTTAGCTAGGTTAGGGTTGCCAGTTTATATCAACATACTCTAATATCATTCATAAAAAAATTCAGAGGAATTCGATTTTGGAAGAAGGGCATTGAAAAGTTTCAATTAAGTTATTTCACGGAAGCTGCATTAATGACAGAAATTATCATGTTTATCTTATATTGTTTATTTGCAAACATAATATATATCCCTTTTCTTCGTATCACTCTTAAACCAAAAAAGAATTACATCAAAGTTATATATATATATAATTACAGCTGCATAGACTTTTTGGTAAAATTGTATTTATCCTGTCGATGAGTTGTATCTGGTCTGATACAGGTTGGTGTACGTGGGGCTGATGTAGTAGTTTTAGGTGTGGAGAAAAAGTCAGTGGCTAAATTGCAAGAAGAGCGCACAGTACGCAAAATATGTCTCCTGGATGATCATGTAGTTATGGCCTTTGCAGGTGCGGTATATAAAATTAATACTGAAATAAATGTTGATCTTGTATATAATTATAAGACAAAATAATTATTGACTATTTTGGAGTAGGTTTGACTGCTGATGCAAGAGTGTTAATCAATCGTGCGCAAATTGAATGTCAGAGTCACAAATTAACTGTAGAAGATCCTGTTACCTTGGAATATATAACAAGGTATATTGCAGGTATGTGTAATCACAAATCAAATTTAAATTTAAAATATTTTAAAATAACTGTACCAATTTCACATATATACTATTTACAGGCTTAAAACAGAAATATACACAAAGTAACGGCCGTAGACCTTTTGGAATCTCCTGCCTCCTAGCTGGATTTGATTACGATGGTGTGCCACATCTATATCAAACAGAACCATCAGGAATATATTACGAGTGGAAGGTAACATTGATAAAATTGATTTCTAGGTCTATTTAATCCTTCATATATCATTAAGATTTATTTGATCAGGATCCAATTTAATTTATTCTTTCTTAAAATATTTTAAAAAACCAAAGATTTCTTTTTTTAATAGATAATTCCTTTCATCTTGAAATTACTATATATTATAGTATACTAAGAGCTAATTATAACTGATTACAACTATTTAATAATCGAATTTATTGATTTATTTCCTTTAAAGGCAAATGCGACGGGTCGCAGTGCCAAAACTGTACACGAATTCTTGGAAAAGTATTACACTATGGAAGAGGTGTCGACAGAAAAGGGCTCTATAAAATTAGCAATTAGAGCATTACTTGAAGTAGTTCAATCTGGACAGAAGAATTTGGAAATAGCAGTGATGCGACGCGGAGAGCCGTTACAGGTATATATTTGTAGTTTACAATTATAAATTGCAAAGTTTTCTTGATAAAAAATACCGATTTATTTTAATGTATAATTTTTTATTATATAGATGTTAGATACAGACACTATAGGCGAATACGTGACGGAGATCGAAAAGGAGAAAGAAGCAGAAGCTGAAAAGAAAAAACAGAAAAAGTGATGTGTCATGATACATGTCTATTAATATTAATTTTTTCGTAAAATAAAAATGCTACAGTTAGATAAAGGACAGAGAAATGAAACTCGACGAAATTGCGAAACTTTTTTATTCGTACTATTTACTGTCACAATTGTGTGAAATGTGTATGCAAAACCACTCGTCGTGTTTGAGATCTCGTAATTTGAATTAATTACAGAGGAAGATCAATTTGGTGTCACTTGTTTTTAGCAATAAATCATTAATTGAATTTCATGCCTGTATATATACACACATAGCTGTTTCAGTTTTAACATTTTCAATTACTCTTTTTATATTTTTACATCCCTCTGAAAGTGTGTTGCTCTAGACACAACACATTTCATTCTACTCACAATGAATATTTAATGAATTAACTGAACACAATAGGAATTTGGTTGCAGATTTGTACACAAATATACTTATATGTATTTAAAATCATTATATATTTTATATTACTGTTGTCCTGATTATCTACTAAGTTGAAGGACATAATTTAAATGAATATAAATAAATTTATATATCTAATATTTTCTCAATAATTTGGTACAAAGAAGTGCCATTTTATTCACAGTCCTGAGACTATATATTCCGGTGAGAGAGATCTTCCACGATGATTGAATACTTGAAAAGATGGCAGATTTCGTAGTGTCTCCCAAGATTTATTTTCCAAGTCAACAACTGCCCGAATTTCTTTGAAATCACCAGCTATGTACATGACACCGTACATGACAATAAACAAACTGGCTATACCTTGAATTAAGATCTGTAACAATATAAAATTATATAGTCTCAGCAATATTCTATATGAAAAGTATTCCGAGAACATCTTGTTTCCTCAAGTTCTGAAATAACATGCATTAACTATATTAATTTTAAACTTTTTACATAAATAGTAGTATGAAAAACTGTAACTTACATCAATTGGCAAAGTAGTAAACTCTTGTTCAGTGATTCGCAAATACGAACGATCTGCAAGCACAAAATTTTTTCATAAGGTGGTCTATTTACTTTTATCATTCTGTCCGCTTTATATTTTCATCCCTTTTTCCTCAACAAACTAATCATACATATTTTACTTAAAATTTATATATATATATCGTTTTAAATAACATATTTCATTTTATAACTACAGGGAATGCAATGTGCGCTGAAATGAACGCATTGGTAACTTCATCGCAAAACCAATAATCAACATTATTTTCTAACCTAAACAAAACATAGTATCAAGTGCGGACGATAACAATGAGATACAAAAGTGAATACTCACGTTGCGCCGCAGAATAAGCCGCGTGTAATATAGACGTAAATCCTATAAACGTTATTAATTTATGCATAGCCGTAGCGGGCATGTTGATGACTAATATCACAGATCACTACACATCGAAATTTCGTAGTGTCGATTAATGAATAATCATTGATCACTGTTCGTGACCAACGTGTGCACGTAATTTCCTTAGACAAAACAATTTAGACAACGTCTAGATTAAGTTTTTACTTTTCCAGTATAGATAGAAACAAAATTCTATCAAGCTCGCTTTTGTGTCATACTATCGAAGAATACAAAATTTACCCGTCATCGAGTCGCACTATTTAAAAAGCAAGAATGAATCTGACTTGTCGTTGAATTATATCACTACGTCCTCAACTCTTTATCGGAAACAGTGAAGGTTCATAGCGGAGACTTTGGAACGATTTTCCGTTAGTTCCTAAATCTCCACTACGAGTCGCCACAGTCTTCAACAAAGATGCGTAGTACGACTCAACGATAACTCATCCGAATTTAGCCGAACTAGCCGAGACATAGAGCGGATTAAGATAAATATAAAATTCCCGTCATCATAAAAATTGCTCGCCTAGCACCGGCAATAGTTGCTAGCTGTATTATCATGAGCGTAGCTGAAGCAATTGGTATTATCAGAGATGAACGTGAGAGTGGCCAACACGGTGTTTTCGACGACACCGACTTTCCGCACTGGGAAAGGGCGCCATCTACATCCATTTTGAGAGGCGAACTACGATGCTACATCCACTTTCAGGTTTCGGCGGTAAAACCTATATGTGGTGGCAGTCCGTGCTATAACCATAATAGCGTACTTGATAAGTATGGTCTCGCACATTGTTACGCGTTTATAACATGAATTAACATGTTAACATGTGCAAAAAAAAGAATTGACATTGTGTATGATTAATATCATGAAGATCATACGAAGTGTCTGGTGATTAGCTGCCAACCCGAAGTGTGAAGATAGATTGGGTTCAGACAAACATAAAAGTCCCATACCATTTTGCGAGATTCGCAATAATTATCGAGTTATTAATGACAGAAATCTGAGGAGTAAAAGCGCGCCGACATAGATGATTCGAAAAGCGTTGTAGCTGCTTGGGGCAGCGATCATGAATCTTTTCCCTAGCGTGAACTAATAAAAAGTGAAAGACTTTTGTGAATCAGTGAAAAATGAAAAATTTTATATGAATTTGTGAAAATCGAAACATTTCACACGACAATTGAGTCGTTCAACATGGCAGTTGCGCGTTCTGGATAATTCAATGAATACCAAAGAAATGATCAAAATAATAACGTCCGTGTAGTCCGAAGGATATTATGTGACATGCAAAATCCGTTTGATATAATATCCAAAGAAAATGTTTCAAAATATGTATGTACAGGTAATATAAACCTTATGCACCGACGAGATATACTACAAAAACTGATGGCCTTACGGGATTTAGCGTACCAGGGAAATTTCCCTAGTGAGGCACCCGGGCGAAAGAGACCGTCTCGCATTTAGCGCAGTAAAATTTAATGGAAACTAATACTTTTCAATCCTTTTCTTCGAATCAAAAAGATTCAGAATTCAGACATATTCAAAATGTCAATACTTTTTAATACGTTTCAATTCGACATTTTATACAGGGAAACAGGACGAAGGGAATGGGATGCGGGCAACGATGCATCATGCGTCTCCAGACGTGTCAAATCGTTTATTATAGAGGAGACTTTAACACGGCAACATGTATTCGAATATTTAATTGTCCCATGGACCACTTACATATAATAAAAAAAAAATTAACGCGGAAATGAACGATTCGTATCAATTTTTCCTTTTCTTATAGAGCAATGAAAGAGTAAATCAGTATCGAAAATCGAATACCGATTAATACCATAAATCAGTGTCAGCAAATTGTCCAATGACAATTTGTTCTCATTTTTCAAGTAGTTACCGCTGTAATTTACACAACAAACTAACTCGGTTAAACGAACGATTCGTACCAATTTTTCTTCTCTTATAAAGAAATGAGAGAATAAATCAGTACCGAAAATCGAAGGCCGATCAATAACTAATTTATTCATCAAATTAACGCGGATTAATGGACGATTCGTATTAATTTTCTGTTTTCTTATAGAGAAATGAAAGAGTAAATCAGTACCGAAAATCGAATATCGATTAATACCATAAATCAGTGTCAAAAAATTGCACACGTGCAATGACAATTTCTTATTTTTCAGGTACATACCCCTCTAATCTTATTCAACAAATTAACTCAGACAAACGAACGATTCGTATCAATTTTTCTTGTCTTATAAAAAAATGAGAAAATAAATCAGTACCGAAAATCGAAGACCGTTCAATACCTAATTTTTTCATAAAATTAACGCGGATAAACAAACGATTTGTATCAATCTTTCTTTCTTTTATAGAGAAATCAAAGACTAAATCAGTACCGAAAACCGGATATTGATTACTACTATAGATCAGCGTTAGAAACTTGTCTAAGTGCAATGACAAGTTGTTTTCATCTTGCAGGTACTTACCCCACTAATTTACTCAACAAATTAAGTCGGATAAAAGAATGGTTCGTATCAATTTTTATTCTCTTATAAAGAAATTAGAGAATCAGTTAGTACCGAAAATTGAAGACCGATTAATATTTAATTTATTCATCAAATTAACGCAGATAAATGAACGATTCGTATGAATATTTTTTTGTTATAGAGAAATGAAAGAATAAATCAGTACCGAAAATCGAATGTCGATCAATACCGTAAATCAGTGTCAGAAAATTGTCCAAGTACAATGACAATGTGTTCTCATTTTTCAGGTATTTATCCCTCTAATTTACTCAACAAATTAACTCGAATAAACGGGTGATTCGTATCAATTTTTCTTGTCTTATAAAGAAATAAGAGAATAAATCAGTACTGAAAATTTAAGACCGACCAATATTTAATTTATTCATCAAAATAACGCGAATAAATGAACGATTCGTATGAATTTTTTTTTCTTATAGAAAAATGAAAGAGTAAATCAGTACCGAAAATCGAATATCGATTAATACCATAAATCAGTGTCAGAAAATTGTCTAAGTGCAATGATAATTCGTTCTCATTTTTCAGGTACTTACCCCTCTAATCTTATTCAACAAATTAACTTGGATAAACGAACGATTTGTATCAATTTTTTTGTCTTTTAAAAAAATGAAAAAATAAATCAGTACCGAAAACCGAATATCGATTAATACCATAAATCAGTGTCAGAAAATTGTCCAAGTGCAATGACAATTTGTACTCATTTTTCAAGTACTTACCCCTCTAATTTCCTCAACATTCAATCAATTAACCCGGTTAAACAAACGATCCGTATCAATTTTTCTTTTCTTATAAGGAAATGACAAAATAAATCAGTACCGAAAACCGAAGACCGATTAATACCTAATTTTTTCATCAAATTAACGCGAATAAATGAACGATTCGTATTAATTTTCTGTTTTCTTATAGAGAAATGAAAGAATAAATCAGTACCGAAAATCGAATATCGATTAATACCATAAATCAGTGTCAAAAACTTGCCCACGTGCAATGACAATTTGTTCTTATTTTTCAGGTACTTAGCCTTCTAATCTTATTCAACAAATTAACTCGGTAAACGAATGATTCGTATCAATCTTTTTGTCTTATAAAAAAATGAGAAAATAAATCAGTACCGAAAACCGAAGACTGATCAATACCATAAGTCAATGTCAAGAAAATTGTCCAAGTGCAATGACAAGTTGTTTTCATCTTGCAAGTACTTACCCCACTAATTTACTCAACAAATTAAGCCGGATAAAGGAACGATTCGTATTCAATTTTTATTCTGTTATAAAGAAATTAAAGAATCAGTCAGTACCGAAAATTGAAGACCGATCAATATTTAATTTATTCATCAAATTAACGCGGATAAATGAACGATTCGTATGAATTTTTTTTTCTTATTGAGAAATGAAAGAGTAAATCAGTACCGAAAATCGAATATCGATCAATACCGTAAATCAATACCGTGTCAGAAAATTGTCTAAGTACAATTACAATGTGTTCTCATTTTTCAGGTATTTATCCCTCTAATTTACTCAACAAATTAACTCGAATAAACGGATGATTCGTATCAATTTTTTTGTCTTATAAAGAAATGAGACAATAAATCAGTACCGAAAATTGAAGACCGATCAATATTTAATTTATTCATCAAAATAACGCGGATGCATGAACGATTCGTATGTATTTTCTTTTCTTGTAGAAAAATAAAAGAGTAAATCAGTACCGAAAATCGAATATCGATCAATATCAGAAATCAGTGTCAGAAGATTGTCCAAGTGCAATGACTATTTGTTCTCATTTTTCAGGTACTTACCCCTCTAATCTTATTCAACAAATTAACTTGGATAAACGAACGATTCGTATCAATTTTTCTTTTCTTATAAAGAAATGACAGAATAAATCAGTATCGAAAACCGGAGACCGATCAATACCTAATTTTTTCATCAAATTAACGCGGATAAATGAACGATTTGTATCAATCGTTTTTTCTTTTATAGAGAAATCAAAGACTAAATCAGTATCGAAAACCGAATATTGATTAATACTATAAATCAGCGTTAGAAAATTGTCTAAGTGCAATGACAAGTTGTTTTCATCTTGCAAGTACTTACCCCACCAATTTACTCTACAAATTAAGTTGGATAAAAGAAAGATTCGTATCAATTTTTATTCTCTTATAAAGAAATTAGAGAATTAGTCAGTACCGAAAATTGAAGACCGATCAATATTTAATTTATTCATCAAATTAACGCGTATAAATGAACGATTCGTATGAATTTCTTTTTCTTAAAGAAAAATGGAAGAGTAAATCAGTACCGAAAAACGAATATCGATCAATACCGTAAACCAGTGTCAGAAAATTGTCCAAGTGCAATGACAATTTGTTCTCATTTCTCAGGTACTTACCGCTCTAATCTTAATCAACAATTAACTCGGATAAACGAACCACTCGTATCAACTTTTTTGTCTTATAAAAAAATGAGAAAATAAATTAGTACCGAAAACCGAAGATTGATCAATACCATAAACCAATGTCAAGAAAATTGTCCAAGTGCAATGACAAGTTGTTTTCATCTTGCAGGTACTTACCCTACTAATTTACTCAACAAATTAAGTCGGATAAAAGAACGATTCGTATCAATTTTTATTCTCGTATAAAGAAATTAGAGAATCAGTCAGTATCGAAAATTGAAGACCGATCAATATTTAATTTATTCATTAAATTAACGCGGATAAATCAACGATTCGTATGAATTTTATTTTTGTTATAGAGAAATGAAAGAGTAAATCAGTACCGAAAATCGAATATCGATTAATACCGTAAATCAATGT